ACACGTACACGTAAACGCAATCAGTCAGGGCGCGCCTTCGCTCTCGATGCTCAGCCTCGAGCCGGCTCGACAGCCTCTAAGCCATCGGCGCCTCGAAGCCGTGCTTGACAAACTTGCCCGCGTGGCCAGGCTTCATCCCCACGCCCTCCGCCACCGCCGCCCGCTCCGCCGCGTTCATCTGGAGCAGGTAGCGGAGATCGTCGTACCTGCGTCTCGGGGTGATCTCGGGTGATCTCGGGTGATCTCTGGTGATCTCGGGGTGATCTCGGGTGATCTCGGGCAAGTCTAGCGCCGCAAGTTGCACCCCTGCTCGTCGAACGCCGCCGCGTAGCGCTCCAGCCCGACGCCCTCGAGCGCCCGCTCGACGGCCGGCATGCCGAGGGGCGGGCGCGCCGCTCGTGGTGGAGCGGCCGGGGTCGGGGACGAGGCAGGCGGTGGCCACGCCTAGAGACGGGCTCCGAGAAGCGGTCGGGGAAGAGGCGCCAGAGAGGCGCACTTGCAGGCTCGACCCGCCGCCGGCGGCTCGTGTGAAGGGAAGCGCATCTCCGCGCCGGATCTCGGCGAATCTCGACTAATCTCGGCGAATCTCGCCTGTAGCTCGTGGAAGAGATCCTCCAGCGGCACCGCCTCCTCCTCCTCGCCGTCCTCGTACGCCACGCCAAAGGTGCCTGTTCACAGCTGCAGGTGTGAACAGCGTCTCTTCACAGCTCGTACGCCACACGCCAAAGGTGCCGTCGTTGTTGACGGACGTCACCTCGCCGCGGTACCTGCAAGAAAAGGGGAGGGGAAGGTCAGGGAGGGGCGGGCTCCCCCCTCTCGGCCCTCGGCGGCAGCGGCGCCAGCGAGACACGTCCGAGAAGTAGACCACGACCGCAGCGCCCTCGACGGCGTCGGCAGCGGTGAGCGGCCCGCCCGGCCGAGCCTCCGCCTCCGCCACCAGAGCCTCCTCCTCCTCCTCCTCTTCCTCGTCCTCCTCCTCCTCCTCCTCCTCCTCCTCCTCCCCCTCGCCCTCCTCCTCGCCCGCCTCCGGCTCCGCCTGCCCCACCGCCCGCGCGTAGGCCACCGCCGCCTCCACCGCCGTGTCGAAGACGCCCAGGTAGATGGTCCTGCTCCCCTCGGTGCGGAATGCTCGGTAGCGGCCGCGCTGGCGCTCATAGCACACGCCCTTGTAGCCGGTAGCGCTCTTGTCGGACAAGTGCAGCTTCAGCCCCTCCGCCTCCGCCACCGGAGCCTCCTCTTCCTCACCGACGTCCTCCTCCTCCTCCTCCTCCTCCTCGCCCTCCTCCTCCTCCTCCTCCTCCTCCTCCTCCTCCTCCTCCTCCTCCTCCTCCTCCTCCTCCTCCTCCTCCTCCTCCTCCTCGCCCTCCTCCGGCTCCGCCTGCCCCACCGCCCGCGCGTAGGCCACCGCCGCCTCCACCGCCGTGTCGAAGGTGCCGAGGCAGACCGTCCGCCCGCCCACCTTGCGCTGCGCCTCGAAGCGGCCAGTATTATGCTCACAACACACGCCCT